AAGTAGCAGAATTAGGACGGAATCTTCTCAAATACTTGAGGACCATTCAGGGTCGTATTCTAGAACTCTACTCAATGCTCAAGTCAGGATTGCACTGGAAATACGACCCTAATGGCAGGGACTTGAGTATGATTTCGAGTGCTTTAAACTATACTCAAATCCTGACTTGAGCATTGAATAGAGTTCTAGAATACGACTCTCAGTGCCGCATAAATGCTACAGCGGCAGAAAGCACTAACACTTCTAAAGATATGAGATGACTTTATACTATTGAAGTTAACAAAACGATAACGCGTTTCAGAGTACAACTAATGCCATCTAGCAGTGGCGTGATGGAACTATTGCATGTTAAAGTTGTGCTTGTTACAAGTATAGTTTGATTTCATGCTGTAACCAAATTCCTTAAATTATGACTATAAATAACACCCTAACAAACTAGAGATACTACGTATTGTTGCTTTGGATAAATAACTGTTTATGATTTTTATGATTACAAGCACAAGTAAAAGTAATCGTTACCGCGTGCGCCTTCGGCGATATGTCACTGCAACATTGACTATGAAAACGCAACGAAATGTTGCTTTAAGAATATACTCTAGAATTTAGTATATTAATCTGAATAGAAAACAACTTCTTTTTTGTTTAAGAATATATTTTCTTAAAATACACCCAAGAAATTTTGAATTCATTTAAGATTATTTAAATTGTTTAATGTAAGAGTTAAAAATTTCTTGATGTGAGTAATGTCCAATTAATTGATTAGAAATGAAATAAAATCTTAAAGTGAACGTATTTGTCTCAAAGTTAGAATAAAGTTAAGAGTAAAATTGTATTAAAAAAAGATAAGCAGTATTTTTGTAATGACAATATTTTATTACTTTTAATAAATATTTTTTCAGAATTAGCAAATGCATATTTTGAGAAATTGCTCTTTCTTATTAGTAGAAATCCTTTTTTTCTGTGTACAAATTGAAATATAGTACAATAACAATGACATCGATAATGATTATGACAATAATGATAAAGAAGGTGGCGTTAGAGCGGTTACACAGGGCAAGTTTTAGCCTCGATGCAGTAGCGATGTAGTCACTAATCGTCTACTTTTACACACCAGCGCGATTTTAGGCAGCGATTAAAGCGCGCGACTGCGTCGATACAAATGCGCGATTGCATTGCTACACTTGGGATTTATAGGCGATTGCATCGATGCAATCGCGCGTTTGTATCGTTGCAGTCGCGCGTTTGCTTCGATGCAATCGCCTGTAAATTGCAAGTATAGCGATGCAATCCCGCGTTTCATGAACGCGCTTTGCATCGCTACTAAATGTCGCCATGTGTAACCTCTCACTCTTAATGGTAGTCATGACGACGACGACGACGAAGGTGGTGTCGTTGATAATTATGATGACGATGAAGGTGATATTGGTGATAATTATGATAATGAGAAAATAATATTGAGCAAAGCCTAATAACAGAATCGCTAAGTGAACCTGAACTAGATGGACAAGAAAAGACTGTAGGAATACAGCACTTTTGGTCACTGCCTTCCCAAACGAGAAAATCTGTATTATGGGGGTCAATCATTCTTCGAGGAGACAACCTTGAAAAGCAAATGCAATTTCACAACTTTAGTTTTAAAGAATAAACAATAAAACAACAGTAGTCAATAAATGTATATGTTTCTGTGTTAGAGTGTAGGGACAATGTGTATGCGAGTAATTAGGTATCCGGTTCCGTATTATCTGATAGTGACGTGGTTGTCACAAGTTTCCCCGCAACCTCGACAACTTGAACATGCCTTGTGCTTTTGAAAGTAACTTCCCGATACATGCGGCGACAAAGATAATTCTCGCAATATACGACGCAATCATGAAACTTTGATGCGATTATATAACCGCTCCCAAACGTAGAGGTAGTTGTCGCTTACGAAGGGAGATCACATTTGTGGTTATATTGATCTTAGTATATTGAAATTCCATGCCCAATAAAAAGGATACTAAACCAGACAAGAAGGCCTTTACGGCTTGCTGACTTGAAAGAAAGATTTTCTTTTATGTTTTTGACATTAGCGTCACGAAGAATTGAAATTTTCGTTATAATTCAGTCTCTTTTGTGTATTATATTTAAAGTATTACATTTAATCCTTATAGAGGTAGGGATAATCGATTTCCTATGCATTTGTATTATTTTGTTATTGAATATATATTTTTCGACCTTAAAAGTGCAATGTTTACCTATTCAGCATCATATTTCCTTACACAAAAAGGGGAACCTCAGCAAGACGTTGAATACGAACATTATTGTAGTAAATGTGGTGGAAGACCGCGACTCTCGGATACGTATTCACATCGTATCGGGAAGCCATTCCCGTATTTCATGCGGTCCGTATGCAGGTGCCAACTATCTTCCCGTGTTTTACTTTGTAAAGCCGTTGTAAAGTTTTAAACGTACTAGTTTAGGTGCAGAGTACACGTTAAATTTTATGGTTGTTGCTACTTCTCAAGTTTTACACTTATTGCCTGCACGGTGTCACTGTTATAAACCTTGGTTACAGAAACTTAAATGAAGAAGCGCGCTTGCACGTACGAATAATTTGGTATTAGTACAAAACGATCAGTGCAAGATAGTCTTTTTTTTTTCAATATAGAAGAGTTCAGTTTATAGAACCATTAAGAAAGCGACGAGAGGTGTAGATCGCGTTTGTGACCAATAAAGCTGTAACAATCACAACTCTAAGCCCTTCCCTCACACTTTCGACAGTCTAATTGTAAGCGTCATAAAAACAAAACATTTCAAGCAGCGCCTTCAAAATGTAAATGTCTCTAAAAGATGCAAATTCCGCGACATTAAAGTTTATCAATGCCACATCATTACGCGTCAACAACCCGTCCGTTCCATCGTTGAAAGGCTTTCTGAATGCTAATTTCGTAAACAAACAAAACTGAGGACCTAATGAGGGGTCTTGCGGATTCGTCGACAAACTTTCTTATTCTGTAAGGGGAAGGCCCGGGAGCTCTTCCGTCCGATCCATTTGCTTGTTTATTCTGGACTTAGGACGACCCCGATACGCGAGGGAAAATAATGCCAGGCAAAAGAAAACAGCGGTTTACAGCAGTGTAAAGTTCTCGCGGTGTTTATTTAAACAAAGTATGCTTACATAGACGGCTCTTCGACTAAGCACCATGTGGCTGGCAATATCTGTATCCGGTAGAATAGTGGGCAGAACTTGACGCTAACTCCTATACCATGGATTTACTGTAGGTACAGTTCTTCGAAGAAAAGAAAGAAAACGTATAACTCAACGTCATGTTTTCTGCGAAGACGATTATTGTACTGGTGTTATACGCATATAGTACCTAAACCGTAGGTATTTATGGCGAGGAAGTCAACCATACCTGCTAAATATCTATTTGTTTCCCTATTAATTTTCTTTCAATGCGTGACACGTTTCAATTATACAGAAATAGAGCCGAGTTTGTTTAGAGACACGTATAAATCGATCAATACTCAGATTATTAACATGACTTATACTAGTTCGTGTATGTATACAGCTTGTAAAGCTACAATGGTTTACTGAATCGTGTGTGAGGTACATAACAGGCTACAAGAACGAGGAAAACCAATGGCGGTTGCCCTGGGGCGACGCACAGGCTGTCGGTCGAGATAAATTGACGGCGTTGTAGAACGCGGGACGCCACGTCTTCGCATGCCTAATTTAATCCTCAGCTTATTGAAATAAAAACGACATAGGTTTTCGACAGGTGCCGCGGGCGAGGTGCGAGGGCCGAGGGGAGGCGGGTCACAGGTGGCCTCGATGGTCGCAGCGTCGTTAAAATTTACATAAAGTCTCAATCCACCGCGACGGGCCCGCTGCCCACCCCACGTTTATGCTACATTTAGTAATTTTATGATAATTTCGAAAACCGTACCGCCACCCATCGCATTATACTAATAGACGAATTCACTAGAGAATTCGGAACAGGAAAAAACTCAAGCGCCTCTAAAATAATAAGTGCCGGTTAATAAATCGCGTCAAACGTTAAGCCGACATAAATTTTTGGAAGAATTAATAGCAGATGTGTTGTTGAGTTGTGCAGGGGCTTGCAGGGCGTTGGGCGGCCAGTCCGCTGTAGCTGACTTTGAAACGCATAAATCCGCTCGTTACTTTATTTTTTTTAGAAATGTTTTTGATAAATTGCGCATAAAATTGAAGTATCGAGCGTAAAAAATTTTACATTTCATTTTTACGGCAACACTTGGGGAACTTGTACGTATCTATGTAAATAAATAATGTTCCCCTAAAACAGACATTTTGTATTACTTTGTTATTCACTTTGCTGACACTAGTACAATATACCAACATATCGACTTATGCGGGCAGGGTAATTTTTAGTTCACTTTGTTTGAACTTCATTTAAGTATGTTTTTTCTTTGGAATTCTAACAACCGTGATGTCATTAACGTTAAATTACAGCCAAGTTTATCTATCTTCTCAGTTTGATTCCTGCTAAATGCAAATATAGAGATTCAACCAGAAACAAGAATGTAATATTCCTGATTACTACTGCGATTCAAATAATAGTTATGAAAACAATCTCGTCCGCTTCGTTTATCTTATCATGACTGACAATAGATTCTAATTTTCCTACGTCTTGTGCATGTTGCTGACAACTTCTAGTTAATAAATAAAACCATTTATAGTTAGTAAACAGTTCTTAGTTACGGGCCGGTTTAATACGGGTGATTTAATACGGTGCTTAATACGGGCCGGTTTGTTCGTAGTTAACGAATTATCAAAAAAATCTATTTTCATTCAGTTTCTTGTCATACTAAGATACCTTACGCCGTCCATAGAAAAGGCCCGTTCTCAGATATGGGGTGTATAAGGGGTAATACGACGCAGTGAAATATTTTATTTATAATATTATTACATGGTTCCAATATAACTACAAAACTTTTAAAAAAAGGGGAATAAAGATGACCTTTCTTTATTGTTTCAGTCCAATTTAACCCACCTGCCGAGACACGAGTATGTCCCAGGCATCGGCATGGGAGTCGCCAAGTGTCCCTTTGACCCAGCTGACAATTCTACAGCTCTTTGGGTCGAGAGAGGTAACCCAGGAAACCTACCAGCTCTGTACTCTGGCACCAATGCGGAATTCACCAAGGCAGATACTGTGATCTTCAGGACTGATCTCCACAATCTTACCACAACGCGAATACAATATTCTTTCAAAAGAACTTTGAAATATGACTCTAAATGGCTTGACAGTAAGTATTAGTTCCTACTGATTTTGTTTTAATTTTTTTGACAACAAACAACCTTTATAAAGCTTAGGCTACGAATATTATATCAAAAACTTCCAGGGTTACTTGTACCATTTCGGTATCACGTGTATTCATACAAATTACCTACTGACTGTTTAAAAATCATTGAAATTCATGATTTCCTTGTGTCACGCACGATTTTGTGAATGAATCATTAATCAAAATAATATAAAATATCTATTTGGTGTATAAATTCGACGTTATATAGTTTCAATAAGTGGTTTTAATAACTATAATTGATTTAGATACTAATATCAATCAATCGATCTCTAATTGACGTAATATAGTTGATTGGTGTGCCGCTACATTAGCTGTAAATATTTAGGGTGATTCGTTACAATCAGAAATAGGCAAACGGGTTTTAACCCAGTGATTTGTTAACGCCTGGTTTAAATTAGGTTAAAACCCATTAACGCTAGAAAACGATAACAGAAACGTTTTAGAACTTAGTAGTTGTTGTAAATCGAGTTCCGTTCAAATTTAAAGATATTATTACAAAATACTTCTATTTGAATAATTTCCAAATTCAAATTAATCTAAAAACACCATGAAACGAAAACGGCGGGGAAAGGGATGAAGCCCCGCACTGAATCATGAATCTTGTTTTTTTTATTAGTTTCTATTAATACTTGTTATTATCGAGCGCACCAATGAAGAGTCCTTATGATCACGAGGTGGATATAGAGTGGGATTGCTCCCTTTTCGTCTAAAAAAATTTTTACATAGAAATTTCAATATTATAAAAGTAAAATGGTTTCCGCCAATGATTTTAAACAGAAATTTTTTAAACCGGATATTTCAGCTTTAATCCATTATGTTTAAAATGCATTAAAATCAATTGAATATTGGGCGATAAATAATCAACACAAAACCGACAATCCTGCACGGTTTGATAAGTGCATTGCTTCACAAAAACATTGGATTGTTTGATATTACCTGTCAAAATTAATTACACCTCTACTCGGTTCCACTTTGCGGACAGCTATTTGAATGATTCTGTAATTTTAGTATACGTCACATTACGACCGGAACTGAAAACCGAAAATAAAAAGTCCGTTATTTTTTTATTTTTTGTAATAATTAAAAAATATTTCCTGTGCAATCAGGGTCATTATATTAAAATTGCAGAATTTAAGTAAATAATATATCTTAACTTGTATAAGCCAAATATACACACATTTATAATGTCTACGTTCTCATGGCAACACTTAGCTATCATATCATATATCGGGGAATTCGCTCTGGACCTTTTGGAGGGAAAAGTGTCGTTTTTATTTTGACTTTCAATTGTTTTGTGAAATCTAGTTTAAAATGGAATAGTATAGTGCTATTGTGCCTTAATCGAAGATTAAAACGCGAAATTATACGAATCTCGAACTAAAATACCCGTATCGGCCCGTTCTAAGGATTCCCGAGTCAATCCAAGCACGCCGCCTCAAATTGCCTATCCTCTTTGTGGTGGCCATATTTACAGAAATATAATTAAACGTTTATGTTTTCGGCTGAAAGACTTTGTTTCCATGGCCAGCAATAAATTAAAAAAAAAATCATATATCTTTATGAAGAAAAGATCTAACTGCCAACTTTAAAGGAAAACGAACACTTTATTTTTATATTTATTTATTTTTGGAAGATTTCACATGACTTTCTTATTCCATTCCTAGGTTTTTATACGTATTTTTATGCAAATCCAAATTGTTTACAATTTCACCAAGTAAAAAATTTATTTGTAAACTTTTTATACTGGTGATAAACGGCACGCCTATCTATAACAGTTGCAGTGCCACTCAGAGCTTTAAATCGTGAAAATTTGAGGTGCACGACTACTGCGCCCTTTATCCTGAGACATAAGTTAACAAGTCCCACGTGTCTGTAATTTCACCAGTACCCCTTACCCTTCAAAACCAAATAGCACTAATGTGAGCATAAACAGCTTTGCGGCTGTAATAAGTAAGGTAACAATACATCCCCATAACGTTCCGGGACGAACTCTTTCACAAAGAAGTCTATTGCAACTAACTACTACGTATTTTACTTGCGTAACATTTGCCAAAATAATTTATCTATAAGCCAACAAAGTTTTCTGTATAAATCCCACTTTACTCATCTTAAAAATTCTATCGCAATATGAACTTCAGAAAAGAAGCGAGGTATATTTCCGTACTAAAATCTTTGAACCGTATTATACTAAACATATTTTTGTAGAAAATACAATGTTGTCTGCCTGTCAGTCTTTATGAAGGTACTATTTGCTCGGATGAACAATGATACTGAGATGCTTTATGTGTCTTGAGTAAGTCAAAGAGCTGCTGTATATTCTTTACGGTTTATTAATATTACATATATTTACAAATATTTTTCAATAACATTTCCAACAACCATTACATTCGCTTTTATAAACGTTCTGAGTATCGTATTTCTGCCAGCTAGGAATAAAACAATCGGTAGACTGATGTGAAAATCAAGAAGCGTTGTCACAAATTTATTGCCATAGAGAATGATTTTTTTTAACGCACACACCATAGTCCCGCACTATACCGAAAGTCCTGTGTCGCGGGTGCTATACACGCAGAGACAACCACAAATTACACCCAAACTCACGAGAAAAATGAATGTAATCCTTGCAAATATTTCTCCCGGCCCGGGAATCGAACCTAGGACCTCTGCGTGGCAGATCAGGATGGCAACCGTTCGACCACAGAGACAGTTTAGTTTTAGTAGCAGTAGAGATCCATGTGAAAGAGTTCGCCCAGGGAAGTACTGCCGCCAAGCAGTAATTTCAGTATTAGTGTGTTTCGGTTCTGAAGGGTAAGGTTGCTGGTGAAATTATAGGCATGTGGGACTTGTCAACTTATGTCTCAGGGTGACTGGCGCAATGGCAGTGCCTCTCAGATCTTTGCAATTTAAAGCTCTGAGTGGCACTGCAATTGTTATGGACAGGCATGTAGCTTACCATCAGGCGCACGACTTGTTCGTCCCGTCACTAGATATTATAAACAAAAAATAGTTGGTAAAGTTTTTTTTATATAAAAGCAAGTGCGCATCTCACCTTATGGAAAGTAATAATGAAATTGACGATGGAGCATGCACACCTAAATAATGCCTGTTCACTCTCGCCTTGAAAAGGCCCAAGTCATGCCATTCAGGGAACAAATCTGCGGGTAGGGTATACCACTCCATATCCGTTCGCCATATAAATGTGGAAGCGAAATTATTTTCAAAAGCAATAAGAGTCCAAAATAAATGAAGACCACACAACAGCAATAAAATTTACTCATACTGCTTTATTCGTTAAAATCGCAGGGTAAATATCCCAATTACCAACGCTTACACGATGATGGCAATTCGCAACGACTAAACAATGGAAATTTAACTGTTTTCGCGCTAACGAGCAATAATTAGGCGGAGGTGAACGATCGTTCGAGTTGTGTTAACATTAAATAGGGATTCGACAACTACCTAGATAAGTATATACGTGTATCGTATAGGATTTCGCAGTTATTCAAAGGTTTATCACCTAAAAGCCGTGGTAGCTTAATGGTTTGACTTACCACCTCTTGAGCAGACGCCGTGAATTCGGGTCCAGCCTCGTACCTAGTAGAATTTAGTAGCAGTAGAGCGCCTTGTGAAAGTGTTCGTCCAGGGAAGTACTGCAACCTTACCTATATCTGCCGCCAAGCAGTCATGTCAGCATTACTATGTTCCGACTTTGAAAAGTAAGGGTGCTGGTGAAATTATAGGCACATGGGACTTGTCATCTTATATCTCAGGGTGAAATATGCCATGACCTTTTCGATGATGGAAAACATCGTGATGAAACTTGCACGTCGAAGAAGGTTCGTAATTCTCGGAAAACATGTGAAGTCCCAAACGCGCATCGCGCCAGGGTGGCGGACTATAGTACCCTCCCCTGAGAGGAGACCCATGCCACGCAGTAGGACGTATAAATGGATAGATGATTATTGACGGTAAAGTAACTTTTTATTTTTAATAACATCAAATGATGGGACGAACAAGTCGTGCGCCTGATGGTAAACTACACGCCTGTCCACAGTTACAATGCCACACAGGGCTTTAAATTGCAAAGATCTGATGGGCACTACCACTGCGCCCGTCACCCTGAGACATAAGTTGACAAGTCCCATGTACCCGTAATTGCACCAGCACCCTTTTACCCTTGAAAACCGGAGCACGGTAATGCTAACATTACTGCTTGGCGGCAGAAATACGTAAGGTGGCTGTACTACCCTGGATGAACTCTTTCACAAGGAGTTCTACTGCTACTAAAATGACATGTTAGTATGACCACCAATAAACGGCCCAAATAGAGAGTATTTTTTTTACCCCACGTGAGACCCCTAATACGTATGTAATAAATATACTTGCACAGAAATATATTACGATTTTTCTGCAAGTGAGTACTTGAACACATTTTCGCATACTTTGACACAGTAAAATAATAAATAATATATCTCCTTAATAAATACACATCTAACAATATAAAAGTAGGTAAATTACCAAGGACCCTCTTTCTAATATTCCCACGTACTAAAGGTATTCATCAACGAATAGCCCGGTTTATCGGCACTATTAATTACAACAAAGCCTAATTTATAGCGGCAATAACTTTAAAAGAGCCGTAGCCTTATTAAAGTTTTATACTTCTAGTTTGAGTTTCATAATAGCCATATATTCCATCCGGTTCAAAGAAGTATTTGTGTCATGGAAGAACGGAGATATTGGACGCGACACACAGTTGTAATCCCGGCCACGTGGCGATTTCATTATGCGACCAACAAATAAAGCACATATTAATACCATTTAGGAACGCACTGTACCTCAATATGACCGACATCTAACAGCTTCATTGAATATTTATTACATATCACACGAAATAACAGCAATTTGATATTGTAGTATTAACATGGGAACGTACGAATGCTTATTCTTTGTGGAATATGGACGAAATCAATATAGGTTATTTGTTGTATTACATTAAAAGAAAATGAAACAAAATACAAAATAAAAACAGAACAGGTGCAAAAATTAAGTTGGCGAAGTGTTCATTGGAGGTATCGATTGTCAATGCGAAAGAAAAAAGCTCTGTCTGTTACGTTTTCACGCCTAAACCAAATTTGATGATTCTTGGTATGGAGATAGATGAGACCTAGGAGACGGATGTGGACTACTTCGTATTACGAAAAGAAATATTAAAGATGGTGAAATAGAAGGTGAAAGTTTGTATCGAGAAATTATAAAACTGTAGAAATTAGTATAGTACAGTAGGCAACTCAAAGTACTCAATCTATTCAGACGAAGTCGCGGGTACCAGCTGGTATGTCATACAATTTTAGGATGAAAAACATTAGATTAATACCACAGAGTATTGAGTTTTGTGTTTCTATGATGGCTATTTATTTACGTCGGTTAGTGAGTAATGAAGTCAAACACTGTGGGGGGAAACTCAAATTGAATTCTAGTTGGTAACTAGTTCGTCCGTTTCAGAACCTAACTTCGTGGGATCCTTCGACGTCGGGGAGTATATCCTGTTCTTCTTCCGGGAGACGGCGGTGGAGTACATCAACTGCGGCAAGGCTGTGTACTCGAGGGTCGCTCGAGTATGCAAACGAGATACTGGCGGCAAGAACATTCTCAGCCAGAACTGGGCTACATACCTTAAAGCGAGACTCAATTGCAGTATACCTGGAGAGTTCCCCTTCTACTTCAATGAAATACGTAAGTTCACAAACTCAATTTTACCGTTTTATACAAAGTTGTGCTTAATGTGGGGGAATTAAACGCTCTCGCGAATAGTCAAACAGCAGCTTTGTAAAAAAAAACTGTACATACTCGTCTCATACGAGTCAGTTTAACAAGTTAAATATTTTGTAAAAAGACTTTATTTAAACATCCCAACGTAAAAAGTCCCTTTCACCTAATCTACAAACATTTCCGTTCAAATATTGACTGCGTCTAAAGCAAACATTTTTCTGTGAAATTCTGAGGTGCATTCGACGTTTAGACGACAAAAGTCTAGCCGATTTCGCTTCAAAGGCCTTTTTAGAGTTCATCTAATATTAACGCTCGGCGTGGAGGATTCGGTTTTTCTCGGCTCTGCATAACTCATGAGTATGTAATAGGTACACAAGCGCCCGCTATTTGCACTACCAGACGTGTTGTATTTACATGTCCGTTCTGTTGCGTTAGAAGCTTACCCTAGGGCGTTTGCGCATTACGTCTGATTCGTATCAGTTCCGAATCTGAGAAATGACGGTCTGAAACGTCACAAAGATCATTTTATCTCTAGGTGTTATTCGTATTTTCTCGTATTCGAATCGGACTTAGTACACAAGCGACATCCGAAATGGGTCCAGGTTTCTACATTTGTATAGTCTCGGATTTGGAACGAATAAGAATCTGATGCAGTGCGCTTAACCAGGAAACTAATCGATATGTCACCCTGAAAAACATAGACGTAGCACGACGTAATAAGGAATATGAAATTGTAAAAGGTGAAAACAAACAAGTAAAAAACACAGCGAAAAACTATCAGATGCTCAATTCAAATATTCCTACTTTCAACTTCAACGGAACAGTTTAGCTGATTGACAACACATCAACATCACTGTTATTAATTAATTTTAGATTTATATTGAACGTTATTAGTGTTTATTAGAGACTACCTACAAAGCTGCGCGATTCTCACTTACAAACACTGTTTAGAAATTCATAAATGTACGAAACAACACAAGCCAAGTAGTGTGAACAATAATCGTTGCCACTATTGCCAAGTCGCTCCGCTAAAACTGAAACAACATTGTGCCCACAGGTTCCTTAGTGAATTCAAATAGCTATTAATTAAAATCACTTGGGTTGTCATTTATAACTTCAAACTAGTTTAATTGTGGTAGCAACTTTTGGTGACATGGAGATATAAAGTTTTGGAGCGGCAATTATAATAATTTGATAGTGAACTTCCAAAACTTCCGACGGTGAAGAGATTTGACAAAGCGAAGTTTTGATAAGTATCGTGAATATCCATTTATTTATTGAGATACATACACATTTTACTGAAGTTGAATCTACCTGTAGGTATACAAGTGTATGTTTTCACGACTGGCTTTTGCACACGACAGTTTCAGTTTCAGTTTCGTTGTTCATCTGTTTGTTTCTCAATGAAAGTCGTGTAATATTGTACATTCAATTTTGATTTTGGAATACACTTCTCAGTCTTTGAGTACTGCGTCAAAAGAAAATTTGTAAAACCTTAATTATAATTAGCTTAAATTTAAAATTTTTACTGACACTTATTGGTAAAAGAACCGATGATCTTTAAATCTGAGGAGAAATTCATCAAACATAGCTAAGAGTCTTCCTGATTGCTTCAGTCTTCAAATAAAAACACCACTTTGGGATCAGTCCATCCGATTAAGATCTACTATGCCACAGCAGGTACACACAGACAAAGGCTTCAAATTTGTAAATCCCTCGTTTTGCGTCAAGGGTGAAAAATATATAATTGTATTGTTATAATTACATTTATTTTATTCATTAATAATAAACATAGTCCCTGTTACAAGGGCAGTAGTTTTTATTGGAATGTAACCGGTATTTTTTTTAAATTCACAAATTATTTCGAAAGCAAACAATATGGTACGGAACTCTTATTGCGTATCTCATTTGTTTTAAGTATATTTGTGCTTGTATGTTGTTCAATTGTGACATGTATTGGGGTTGATAAAATACAGTAACGCAGTAATTGATAAAAAGAAACAATTGAAAATACTTTTTTATCTTTTGTTAACCAGAGAGCATTTACAAAGTACCAGGGGACGATAGCAGATTTTACGGCGTATTCACAACTGCTTCTACCGGCCTCATGGGATCTGCAGTCTGCACTTTTACTATCGGAGATATCCAGAAAGCCTTTGAAGGGAAATTTAAAGAACAGGCTACTTCCAGTTCCGCTTGGCTCCCAGTTATAAGCAGCAGAGTGCCTGAACCTCGACCAGGGACTTGTGTCAATGATACTTCATCTTTGCCTGATACAGTGCTAAATTTTATAAGGTAAGTGACTTTGAAGTTATATCATAAATAAGTAAAGATGTAGTTTACTATAATTCCTCTAAAGCCCTCCTTGTTATATTTAACACATTTTTAATTTTCGGTAACTTCCAAAATATTGCTACATAAGTTTTATTGTTACCCAAAAAAATGTCAATTACGCTGATTATGGTTAACAATAAAACTAAATATAGTAGTGACTGTTACATAATGAAAGGCATTAAAATACGAGTGTTTTAATGCCTAATTATGTACAGTTACATACACTACTTTATCTATACACATATTATAAGCTCTCTATGATGTGTTCAGGAACCGCATAGTACGACCTGGATTGCGGCATTGATCAGGGCTATTAGCAGTAATTATTAGTAAAATAATGCAAAAAACTTCTTTCTCACGCATGTCATGCAACCGTAGTTTTTTAATTTATAGACAAACTACAGTCGGTCCCATCTATCATATCGTTCGATATAAAGTAACGTGCGAATTTTGTCAAAATTGTTTGCTATTGACAGTTCATTTCGAATAAAACTTCATCTTGAATGTTATTAGAATTGAAGTCGAATCAAATTGTTTTGTTTTTCATGTTCAAAATTTGAATGTAATAATAAAATTGAATTTGATGTTAATATAAAGCAATAATAACATTTTCTCAGATCAGAAATTTGTTCTAACAAAAAAGTTTATCTTTATGCTCGTCGTGATTTGCGGTTTTTAAACACATCATAGAGGGTTTATACGTGTATAGACAAAAGCATTAAAATACCGATTAGAGGGGGTTGTAGTCGTGTCGTTGATATGTTATGTCTCAATTTCGCTAAAAATGTTGATTACGTTAATTATGACATGAACCAATAACTCAAGATTACTGCTAATCTCCTTACTACGGATGGTAGCTCTGAAAAAGGTCAAAATTCCGTCTTATACTCAATACTTTATTGCGTTAACAAAAGTTTACAAGATGGCGCTGATCAGTAGCCAGGAAGTAGTTTATATTATGTATATGGCCGTGGGTATTAATTAATTCCTGTTTAATATGAAATTAATGTAAGAAGTCAATTTTTGCCTTGTTCAAATATTCAAATATTGATCATGAGCGAAAATTATTTTCTGAACTTTGACAAATATGCATGTCAATAGATGGCATTGTGTTGTACATGTACAAACAAATTTTTAAATCAACGCTTCCTAATATGGATAGATGTCGCTAATTGTGAACAAAATAAAAGTATCGATAGAAATCTGTGCAATAAGCGCCATTTAGTTGATTTGTTTGTTATCACTACAAAGAGAAGCTTTTATAAATTGTAGCTTGTCAATGTAAAACAAATTAGTTACAGAAGTAGCTATTTGGTACTCGTCGCGACATCTGCCCCCGTGGCATTGCTACGCATGATACTAGCGACGCGCGCGATAAAATTGGAATAAGCGCGCGCTATTGGCTGTCTCAATCAGATCTAATTTAGATAGCCAATAAATAGCGCGTGCTTATTTCAATTTTATCGCGCGCGTCGCGACTATCATGCATAGCCATGCTATGGGGCCGGTGTACCAATAGGTACTAAATACCACGACTACTTTGTCTTGTAACGCGATTAGCAGTCTCTTGACTTATTGGTCTATGGTTATGATAAGGAGGGCAGTATACTTTTCAAACAATGTCTCTAATCGTCTAGGAATAAAACCTATTGCAAAAAGTTATAATATTATTCTTCGTACATAACGCATTCGTGTCTTTCAAAGTATCTGTAATATTTATTAAATACACTAAATTTCAACTTACTAACCAATTTTCCCAAGTCCAACACTTTCAACATGTAGAACAAATAATTGCAAACAAATAACAAACAGAAAAAATACGTCTACGGATGATGGTGAAAACTCTTACCAGCACTGCAGTTTTATCAGACACGTCCTGTTAATTATCCGACACTCGCCCGAGAGAGTGTTCAATTATATTTTTTGCCCACGCTTTACGATCCTCGTGTGGAAACGTTGAGATTTTAACACTTCACCTGCACCAGACTGTTGGAGATACTATAATAAAAATTGTTATCCGCACAACTCCACTTTTTAATTAAATGAATGAGGAATTTTTGCTTTAGTCGCGTTTTATCTGGGTGTTGTGACATGAAAATGCAAATGGAAAATAAATTATGCAGTGCATTTAAAAGAGTGCTCTTGAGTAATTAAATTATACACACCAAAATAAATAGTAACTGTAGAGTAAAATGAGTTTCGGACTTCTACATAAAGACAAAAATGTAATCATGTATCGTTGGCTAAATTCGTAAAGCTCGTAACCTCCATTAATGTGAACTTTTGAATAGGCACAAAAAACAGAATTACTAGAAGTAATTAAATAAATAATAATAATAACGCACATACTCAACATAGCCCCGCACTATGGAAACCCTATGTCGCGGGTGCAATGGACACACACATAGACAACCACAAATTACACCGAAACTCACGAGAGAAATAAATGTAGACTTATAAATATTTCTCCCGGCCCGGGAATCGAACCTGGGAGCTCTGCGTGGCAGTCCGGCATGGTAACCGTTCGGCCAAGGACGCAGTGCAGTGCAATTATGTAACAATCTATGATTATACATTTATCATATCACTAAAAAAGGGTCGAGACATTATATTTTAAGCCTTGATCACCCGATATTGCGCATGAAAAGTAAAATAGGGAGTTACGAAGTTTTCAAATCTAGCGACGACACGACGGTGTGTATTATGTAGGTACACTACCTTCGTCTTCTATTATAACTTGATCATTGTTCCACAGCCGTCGTCTTTTGTCTTTGTATTTTGACAGTTTTGATGGCGGTATTGATGAACTGTTTTCATGTTTCGAAATGATATGTCAATCGATATCCTTTCTAAACCCAGATCGCATCCACTGATGGACAGCGCAGTGTCACACGAATACGAGAAGCCAATCTACTACAAGCGAGACCTGTTCTTCACGAGACTAGTCGTGGACCGCGTCAAGGTCGATATGATGGGGCATCAGTTAGACTACACTGTTTATTATGCAGGCACGAGTAAGTGTAATTTGCAGTTCTTGCTTGGTTGTTTACATGTATTATTTATTGACGAGGTAATTTCGTCTTTTTAAAAATTCTGTTTAAAAGAATACTTACTATAGTCACATTATAACAACGTGCGAAAATATAAACTACTAACTACTAACTTCTAAAATATATTTTTAACCTAATAAGAGGATGTATAATTAACCCTCCTCTATTGGCTCAAATTCCTTTTTTTATCCCGCCAATCACACGTTACGTCCTTCGTCAGCGCAAATACCCTCTATTCAACTTTCATTTAACCCGCACAGTGACACTAAGACGGACACCATTCTTCGAAGCCCTAGCCGTAATTGAATCCTTAAGCAAAACAAATGATATTGACGTTTTCAGCAACACTGAATCAAAATTTCTAACATGCGCTGGTTACTATTTGGAGGCGGTCACCGCCCAAAGCTCCGTGGTCCAAATTCCGCATCCTATCTTTGGCCGGTGATCGACTCAACCTTTTTTGTGACTATGACTTACATGTTTAGTTATAAGTACTGTAAGTGTAAGTTGTACAAAATAAATAAATAAACTAAATTATAGGTACACCCAATGATACCCAACCTATTTCTAACAAATATTGTTCAAAAATAATTGCTAACAATATGATTATGCTGATTATCATCAGAGTATCAAGACATATTTGACATAACTCACTCATTTGGTGCCACATTGACGTAATTGTAATTTTGGTAAAATTATATGAAATATGTTAACTAACACTTCGTAAGAAGTGTTTACATTTGAAGGAAAATTGGCAGTAATTTTAAATATAGGTATATATATATATTGGTATTGGTATTGGTGCAACGGGCTAGTTTCCGCAACTCGACGTCGAGGCGGCTATTTTGCGTGTATATATATATTTATATTATATATGTATAATATGTTAGATATTATATGTTGTAGAGAAAAATACACAGTTTTGCTAACACGTCATAATTAAAAAAAATGCAAATCCATTTCCTGTAACATTACAATAATTGAATCAGTGTAGCACCAAATGAGCGAACTATTCATTACAACACAAGACAAAAACAGAATTTCTAACTTTAGTAATGAGCGTAATGAAGTCTGCCTTGGCTAAGTTTTGACATCAGGCATAAAATTAAAAAGAAAAAGAAGAAAGTGAAAAAAAATTAAGTTTGGGACAAAAATAATTCGTCGAAAGTAATTGCAAATTGTGAAACACACGTATCTGCTGACTAGAAACAATTAGAGAATTCCCAAGCGCCCGAAAACAATCAGCACAGGCGACAGGCGAGGGCATAAAATTTCATAAAAACCCGTGAATTAAAAATGCTGCCGTAGTGGAATAAAAAGTGTGGGCAGTGAAAGTGGCACAAAGGCCATAATTCGTCTCGCCGCGACTGCTCGGACTTGCTGGAATGCCATTGCACTCTGGGGCTAATGTCCACTTACAGGACTAAGCTATGGAAATTACTGTTAAAATGCCTGCGTAGTGAAATAAAAATGCCGGTGAAAGTGGTGCACAACCTATAATTTATCCCGCTCTGACAGCTTGCAGTCGTCTGTCGTAGTCGTCTGGATGCCATCGGTTTTTACACTGTGCTTTCTGACCTAGCCAATTAAAATACCTTTCAAAAGTATTAAAAATTATTTTCTGCACAGCTATCAAAGTGCGAAGTGCTAAGTCAATTTAAAGCAAATATCTCAGAGGCACTGCCACTGCGCCCGTCACCCTGAGACATAAGTCGACAAGCCCCTTGTGCCTGTAATTTCCACCAGCACCCTTACCCTTCAAAACTGGAGCGCATAATGCTTACATAACTGCTTGGCGGTTGAAATAGGTAAGGTGGCAGTCATTGAGTATATTTCTGGCAGTACTTCCCTGGACGAACTCTTTCACGAGGAGCTCTCCTGCTACTAAAAATATACACATAATATATACACATCCATTTATAGCCATCGTATCAGCAGCGAAAATTTAATACCTTGTTTAACAATTTAAGTCAACAATGAAATATATTTGTGATTAAGTTTTATTGAATGTCAGGATGTTACACCACCATGATATTCAATTTTTTTGTGAATTACTCCACTAGTTTGTTGTAATTATTAAACAAAAATTGAACACTTAAAAAAAATTCCATTCGATCCGACTGGATTCGAACCAACGTCTCCTAGCAAACCGTGCCAGATGATATGCCAACTAAGTCACGAAATGAACAAACGGACCTCACAAATTTTTACATGTGCTTATTGCAGATTTTTGTTATGATTTGTAACGACTTTTTTGCCGTAGCGCCATCTGTGAGAAATCCATGAAATTACTACATACAATACAACGATAGAGCATGTAGAAATTATGAGGCTTTGAACCAAATGAATAATAATATTGACTGCTGGTTTATTGCTCCATTTAAACGTTAATTTGCGCGACTCGTGGCGCAGGCGAGCATAATAGAAGCGCTAGTGCCGACCGCATCGGATCACGTCAATTTCCACTGCTGCATAAATTCGACTTGCCAGTCGCCGCCGCACACTAAACAACGCCTCCAAGTGGTAATTTTCGCCTATGTTGTTGCAATTTTCACCAATTTTCCTCGAATATCGCAACGACCGACCCACCCCGCCGCCGCCGTGAGGCTACAGAGTGGATTAAACTCACGTAGATATCTAACGAAGGGGGGTTCGTTTACGGAACAACTTTTACGAAAGGCGAGCTACGTTTGAGTTGGCGTTTGAAATGCATGTGTGTGGAATATTAAATTGTTTAAACGTTACCTTTGACGTTCCCTCCCGTGCCATAACCACGTGCCGCAATAATTACTCTAACTTAATCTACACAATGTAACTTTGTTTCTCTGTTTCGATGCTACAATGAGGCTTTGACGGGGCGTTAACACAAACTCTATGCTTTTGATTTAAGAGCCCGGTAACTCGAATTAAAACACAATAAAGTGTTTAAACACGGTCATGTTAAATCCCGTGACAGTACTCGGCAATAAATGGTCTCGAGTATTCAAACCGCAAAACTAGGAAAAAGAGCAGCAACCCGAAAATACGGAGCTCTCTTAGTTCACTATTATTTACACTCGAGCGCAAAATAAGTTGCACGAAATTCCGGCGTCACAAAGAGCTCGAGGCGTCCCGTGAAAAAGGACAGTTTACTCTTTCAATAAAGAGCGGTGGTGGCGCGGCATAGTGCGGCGATATTACCTCCCGCTTAGCCCATTTTGAGTGCTTACCGCGTTATAATATGCATTAAACTGCACCGCAACCGGCGGAAAGTTGTAGCCGCTCGAGGTGCTAGCAGACAATGAGAAACGAGCGTATGATGCTCCCGCAATGCGGACTCGCGCCATCGCTCGGCTCGGCTTCACTAGCTTCATTTGTTTTATCACACCCGAATCACTGTTACCAGACAACTTTGAGCGTCCCGCCGACGCTGATAAAACTTTGACAGCGACTGTCATGCACACACCCCTCCGTGATTGTCAATGAAAGGGAACCGAGGTATCAAAGACGTTAAGAGTATTTGGAAGTTAACAAAGTTAATTAAATTCCTCGAGTTAGACGTCAACAGTGAGACTCTTTAGAGTACGAAGGGCGCTCGGTAAACAAACGAACATATTAATGTTAACGTATCGCACGAGCTCAGTCATTGTAACTCAAAATATAATTAGTGCTTATTTTTAGATACAAAGGAAATGTTCGCCTTTATTTCCAACTTTGGAACCACACATAATGGTCGCTTCGGTGAAATGTCAAAGCTTGGAATAGGTAGATATGTAGAAAATCAAATTGTAGATGCGGACACGAGCCGGAGCGGAAAGATTTTAACGTCGCATGTGGTGTGGTAGTGCTATTAAAACCGATTTAAAATTCACAGTCGGCCCCGCAGTGGAGTCGCCACTGGTACCATCATGGCTATTTGATGATATAATTATGCTAGTCTCGTTGCAAAATACTCAGTCCTTTGATGTTTTGAAATTTCGTTAGCCGCAGCTCGTGCAGCGTCGTGTCGAGTCGCGGCGACCGGCTGAGCGCAGCAGGTGCACTGTCTGCGACACGCCTAACGTATAGCCGTACGCAAGCCAGCCATAAATAAATCCCTCTTACACATAAGACTTACGTATATTACACATATTTCTACATTCACGTACAACTATTTAGAAATATTACTCTTCTGCAATATTCCACGAATATGTATTACTTCCACTACCATTATTTTACACAAAGTTGTTTGTTACTTTTAGTTGAGAATCATCTATTTTACTGGAAAAATGGTCCACTGTCGCCTGAGGACATGAACCGAACTACGTACTTTAAGAAACATTATTAACTTTAGAATAAAATACAACGTGTAGGTGTGTTCATTTACAAAGACTGCTGTGAAATTGTTAAGCACCAGCCAAAGTTTCAGGAAGTATGACACGTTGTTTATTTATGCGCTCAGGAATAATGCGGACAATAATTTACAGAATAACTTACCTTACATAAAATGTAGAGTATCGAGTTCCCTCCTTATAAGTATCGGAAACCCATTTGCCTAAGTGCATGGACTCCAAGTTTCGCCATAAACATGAAATGCGATGCAAAGTGATTTGCGAAGGTGTGGTTGAGGCATGTGGCATTTTAGAACGCTGGCTCTGCAACACCGGCGACTTGCGCGTGCTGCCTGCCGCACGTGAAGATTAGCTCCCGGTCTCCCAAAACGCCTCAGATACACTCCCCAACTTACACACACCAACTCTCCATGCTTCATCGACGTGCATTGCCCTCAGGGTGAAAATGAACAATATTTATTGCTTGCGATACACCGGGAAGGAATTTCCAAAGTAATTTATAGTTTGCAACACCTTAACTCTCGCTACTACATTTTGAACTTTTACCTTGATGTACTGCTATCCACTACCAATATGGTCTGAAACCTTTCTTTTAATAACGGTGCAATAAAGTAACCCATAAACAAATATGATTAATTCCAATGAATTTAAAAA